GATTGTTTTGGATAGAATTCGGTTAAAATAATACACTTGATCGGGTAGGGTAGACCAACAAAAATCTCTTCCACAAAGTATTGCGTAGAAAGATAGAATACTATAATTCTTACCCGTAGGGGGGTGAACACCCCTAACACCAACCACCACCATCACTATATGCTCCAGTTTTTTGGTCGTGTTACTTGATTAAATTAATTGATCGGTCACAATAAACCACAAATATCTCTGAATACGGAGACATAACTCTAATTATTTAAATAAAACTTATAATCACAATTTTGATCTTCAAATACCAATAAAAATTTTAAATTATATCAAGATTCATCCATCTTCGAATTTTCAAATATTAAATTTGGTCATTCCCTCCGAGATTATTTTGAAAAATATTAGACGCGGGAAAGTATACAATATGATAGGAAACAATATACTCAATGAGAAAAATATGAATGATCAAATACCAAATAATTTAATCGACAGACAATCATAGATAAAAAAATCAAGAATCTAATTCGATAGGTCACTTAGCTCATTTCTATCAAACATAGCCTCATACTTGGTTTATTTTTATGACATGACAAGTGATACTTGGATATTTAAATTCATACTCATATCAAACTATTATACCCCGCAAGGTTGTAATAACAATCGCACCCCGCAAAGGCCATAATCTCATTTCACCTATTATACCTCAAGTACACTTCATACATATATCAATCAATACCAAAGTATTTAACTCAAAATACAAGTCAATCAACAAAAGTGTCAGAATTTCATATCAATCAGGATAATCAATAGAAATATAAATTTTAGATAATCAAATAACACTCTTTGTAAAGAGATTTAAAAGACTTTATATATTGTATACTACCCCGTACCTCAAATACATTAATAACTTCCGATAGATATGAAATTCAAAATACCAAAAATCAAATACTTAAATTTATAATAAAAATTACTTCTCAATTTTTTACCTCAAAATCTCTCTCTCTCTCTCTCTCTCTCTCCCTCCTTCCATGACTTGGCCACTAGCAGAGGCAACTATTTATAGCCAGCACATGAGAGCTTCATTTGACCTACAAGGCCATTATGTAAGTTGGCTTACATTAGTATGGTGAGATAAGTGGACACTTGTCCAGTTTTTGTGGTCATTATTTTTTTTATTATATAGAAACACTTGTCAGTTGAACACCAATCATTCCCCACCCATTTGACACTTGTATAATATATATATATATATATATATATATATATAGATATATATATATATATATATATATATATCTCATGTGTAACACATATATTATACATTCATTATATCATTTGGATACTATGATATTTTATTTCAATACGAAATACGAAATATATTATAATTATTCAACTCATTTTCAAGTAAGAAATTTATATTTGAAGTTCATTTATTCGATGAATAGTCACAATCTACTCCCTTTAAAAAGCATTTTATCTTCAAATTCATAGTCCATAAATTAATTGATTTTTTGCCCATTCTGATACAATTTTCAACGATTTACTATCTAACCTAAAGTTTTAATACAAATTCTAACTTATGTACTTGTGCAACGTAAACTAATTAACTTACTCCCTATAATAACGCATATTAGATTTGAAACCTAAATTTTAATACTTTAAACTTTTATACCTAAAACGAAAGTTTATAGTTTCACTTCCCACAATGTCCATACACGATCTGCTACCTGCGCTTTGATATCACTTTGTAATGTCCTGATTTTTTGGAAGCGTTATTTGATTAAACTAATCGATCGATCACAATAAATCACAAATTTTCTAATACATGGACAAAACTCGAATTGTCTCAATAAAAATTATAATCACAATTTTAATCTCCAAATATCAATAAAAGTAAAAAATTTTATTAAGATTCGTCCATCTTCGATTTCTTAAATATCAACTCTGGTAATTCCCTCAAAGATCATCCTGAAAAATATTAAATGCGAGAAAGTTTACAATATGAAAAGAAACAATATGTTCAACGAGAAAAATATGAATGATCAAATACCAAATAATTCAATCGACAAACAATCATAGATAAAAGAATTAAGAATCCATGTCAATAGGTCACTTAGCTCAATTTCTATCAAATATAGCCTTATACTTTGTCTATCCTGATGATATGACAAGTGACACTTAGCAGTTAAATTCCATACTCATATCAAACTATTACACCTTGTAAGATTGTAATCCCAATCGCACTCTGTAGAGGTCATAATCACATTTCACAATTATGCCTCAAGAACACTTCGTATATGTACAATCAATCCCAAAGTGTTTAGCTCAATATACAAGTCAACCAATAAAAATGCCAAAATTTCATATTAATCAGAATAATCAATAGAAATATATATTTTAGATAATCAAAGAAAAACTCTTTACAAAGATATTTGAAAGACATAAACATATTGTATACTACCCCGTACCTCAAATTTATCAATGACTCCGACAGATATGAAATTCGAAATACCAAGAATCAAATACTTAAATTTTAAATAAAATCACTGTTCAATTTTTTACCCTAAAAATTCATCTCTCTCTCTCTCCCCCCCTTCCTTCTTCACCTAGCTTGCTCACCAGCATAGGCCGATATTTATAGATTACACGTGAGGGCTTCATTTGGTCTACAAGACCATAATGTAAGTTGGCTTACATTAATATGGTGAGCTAAGTGTAGGGGTGTAACTCGAAGGGTTGGACGGGTTGAGAGGTCAATCCTAGTCCAATCCTAAGTATATAATCTTCAATCCTAACCTTACGTCAACCCGAGGTACTTAACCCAAGTACTGGGCGGGCTCAGATTGAATTCAGGTTACTTAATTCGGACTGATTTCGGATTAAAAATCGGTTGGTTTGAGTTACTTAATTCGGGTTGATTTTTTGAAGTGTAGATTTATTTTTTTCAAGTGATCTGAGATGAAAGGCGAGACGTAGATGAAGAGAGAGGAAGTGAGAGAATGAGGAATGACGAGTGAAAAAGGAAAACTAAAAGTCTAAGACGACTCAGACAAGTGACGATTGAGAGAGGAAAGAGTGACGAGTGAGAGAGGAATTCGAGAGTGATGAAGACTTGAAGTGAAGTGAAACTTTGGACTTTAAAAAGTGAAGATAAATACTAACGCTAGTTAAATATATTTATGTATATTCGAGTTCAACCTGATTTAATAATCGGGTTCAGTCTGATTTTAATATTCGGGTTGAGGCCTCAATTCATGTTTGCTCAAATTCAATTCGGGTTGAAGTTTTTTTGCTCAAGCCCAACTCAAGTATTAAAAATTATAACTCAATCCCTGTTTTTTATTCAGGTTGGGCTCGGGTTAAATTCGGGTTGGCCCAATCAAGTTGCACCCCTAGCTAGGCGGACACTTATTCAATTTTTGTGGTCATTGTGTTTTTTTAATATATATAGAAACACTTGTCACTTGAACACCAAACCATCCCCCACCCATTTGACACTTGTATAATGTATATACTATATATGTATTGCATATTTAACACATATATTATCCATCCATTATACCATTTGGATGTTATGATATTTTTATTTCAATACAAAATATGACCTATATTATAGTCGTTCGACTTGTTTTTACGTAAAGAATTTATATTTGAAGCTTATTTGTTCATTTGAAATTTTTTAAAAATGATCATTGATTATATAAAATTATAATTAATGACTTAAATAACATATTTGCGATTAATTTTAATACAGGTTGTCTCAACCACCGTCACTCATAAGCGCCCGTTGTCGCCCACTACCATTGTCACCCATAACTGTCACTATCACTATCACTATCTCTATCGTCATCTAAAATCCACCACTACCATCACTGTTGACACCCACATGACCACGATCATCGTCGTCCACTAAAAACAATCACTGTCTCTCACCACCATTATTGTTGTCCACCATCACTATCACCGCTCACATCTACTATAATCGGTCTTAAATTTATTTCTTATTTTTGATATAAATATAAATATATTTATAATTAATAATTTTTTTTATAACTCTATACCTTCGTATACCAGCATGTCAATATTCCTCCGTCCTTCTCTGGTGAAGTGTGTCCCAGGCTTGTTCCCTTTTAATGTCTGTTCAACACATAAACCGACAAATAGTTCATGGGTAGCTGTTGTCCAAATGGCTCTAATTGGCTTTTGAATTGATTTGACAGAATTCCTTCGTTTGCTTGCCATTGGCCTGCTGTTACACACAAAACTCAGGAATTTATAGAAAGATCCATTATGGCAAAGTTAGAATAAGATGATCTTCAAATGAGGATACTTACATTTCACTGATCCATAAATAAATAATATAGGTAGCTCCCCCCCACTCCCTTTCTTCTTCCTTGGGAGGGAAGGTGGAGGCGAATACACTTCATAAAGCACATTTAACACATCGATCAACCAATTTCAACAAGTAGTTAAACTTGATTGTGACATAACCTTGTTTTCTTGTTACGAATATGAGAAAAAAGGAAAGAAAATTACAAATCATCATCCTTTACTTCTTTATAGATTCAAAGGAATAAGAACTTCAGCCCACCATGCAAAACAGCCGAATTAGGTTCTGTTGACATTTCTATACCTCAATACATCTTAAGTTGAAGAACCAAACATTGAGGTTCATTCTCTTTTCCCATTTACTCGCAGCAACCAAGAGAAACTTTTAAATCTTATTTTTCATTTTAATTTATCAATGAAAGCAAGAATGGGTAGACTCTAGCAAGTAACATCCAAAGAGATTAAAGAAGAACTAAAATTATGAACAGGGATGGAAAATGCTATATTTGTTCAAAAGACCAATTACAATTCCACCCATCAAAACTTTAGATTCAGATCCCTTCCAATACACTTTTCTTTTAATTCTCTTGTTGACACATCATTCACTATCAATGAGTGAAGGACCCACTATTAATGAGTGAAAGACTCACTTGCACGAAAGGTAGATGCTGCGCTAAGAAGAGAATCGAAGAGAAAATGTATTAGAGTGAGATCTCAGACTCAAAAATCCATAATCATAAAAAAAAAAAGTGAATTATTTGATGAAATCCATAATCAAAAAAAAAAAATATAGCCTCAAAACCCAAGGCAATTGACAAATTGAAGGTGCATTGACAGCATTATTAATGAATTTAAAGACCAGTTAGTTACTAGAACTTAGAGACTCAAATGAACCAGTACATTTGATGAACCGAGACATCATATAAATCGATCAACAGTGGAGTATGTAGACATTTCTCCTTGCCCAATTCATAAAATTCTCAGAGCAATACACAGCATCAAAATAGTGCAACAAATTAATGAAACTATCATGCTGAAATATTCAAAGATATCGATGACTTACAATAATGAGAAGGAGGGAAGAGCAGAGCTGCAGTGGAGATCCCAGGTGTTAGAATGCAAGAGAGAGAGCGAGAGAGAGACCTTCATGGGCCATGAAAACCTTGGGCCTTGGTATTATATGCGTGCTTTAAATCAAGACCAGGTTCAGTATGAAACACTATTGGGACGTGACCGGCACCACATTATTAAAGCTTTGTCGATTTTGAAGAAAACACAATGATGCAAGTAGGTGGATCTCGACACTCTCTGATCGTAATATTAAAAACAATTTTGACTCTATTTCAAGGGAAAATATTCTATGCAACAATAATATCAAATCAGTTTTATAACGTAATATCTCTATTTAATAATATATTAACCAATAAATAAATAGACCCTACACAAATTAATGACTATCTCTCTAAGCAATAACTATCCACATGCCAAAAAAAAAAAAAAACTATTTTACACAAATTTACATGGCAAGCAACTATTTAATGTAGTGCTGCTATCACATGAATTTTTTATTTTTTGTTATAAGGTATTCAAATTTGTGTCGCCTATTCTTTTTAATTTTGATATCGACCATCATAGCTCGAAATTAATTTTAAAGAAATATTCCCTGAAAAACAAAATTGGTTAACCCTTCCTTGTAAGAGGATAACCTTGATACCTGAACCGCTTCTAAAAGTTTATTATCAATGAAATATAGTATTATTTGATCAAAAAAAAAAATAGCATCATGGTTGAATAACAATATTTCATATATGTGGATAGAGTAATTAGCATATAGATTTGAATAATACAACATGTGGTAATTATAAAAATTATGATAAAGAAAAAAGTATACTAAACATTAAGGATATACAACCTTAGTCTATTTTTCATCGAAACGTTCAAAATTTTTTCATTTTCATATAAACTAAAACGAATCAATAATTATTACAATAGAAACAACAAATGCTATGGATATAAATTTTTAAATTTTATTTTATTTTAAAAATATTTAAAAAAACTTTTCTATTTTCGAGCTTATTAAAATTATGTATCGAAACTAAATTATATTGGAAAGAAGCCGCATATCCATCCGTTGGATTATAGACATGTCTGAGCGGAGCCAAATGCGTTTCAGGCAAAGATATTTGGCACTTGTTCCCACCATATATATGTATATTTCTCTTTCTCTCTCTCTCTCTCTCTCCCTTCATCATCCACTTCGCCCCAAGACGAAGCTCCAAAACCCCTTCTCTCTCTCCACTCGGATTCTGGGCTTATAATCTCTCATTTCGGCTCTGTATCGGTCTTTACTTTCCTCTTTCTTGATTATCGAATTTCTTAAGGTAAGAACCTTTGGCCTATCTGATTTAATTACTTAAAGATCATCGCATTGCAATTCAGATCTTGATCAACGCATGTAAATGACAATGTTGTTGCCGAATTATGGTTTGCTAGGCTTAAGGGAGCGCTTTTAAACTCAATTGTTCATTCTCGTTTCAATCGGTTAATACACTTGGGATTTGTTCCTAAATTACGTTAATTATCTAAGTCTGACAAACTGGGGCTTATTGCCTTTTGTATTTTTCGCTTCAGCTGAGGTTTTTTGAGTTGAATCTGAGGTTCAAAAAGGCGAGGGATCAAATTTCCTGGTGGAGGTAAAAGGGGCTAAAGTAGACTAGTCAGATCAGATCTAACCATTTACGGAATAGCTATGTCTTTCATTGGCACACAACAGAAGTGCAAGGCATGTGAGAAGACAGTTTATCCTGTGGAGCTGTTATCTGCAGATGGGGTTTCTTATCATAAATCATGCTTCAAATGCAGCCATTGCAAAGGAACGCTCAAGGTATATACCGAATAAATTCAAATATTCTGCTAATGCCTAGTGTTATGGTTTCCAGTGTTTGTCCACATGCTCTAATTTTTCCACACCTCTATGGTTGGATGTTGAAAGATTGAAGAACATCTATAGTAATTCCTTACAGATTATCCAAAGTATTTGCTGATAATGTGAGCTTATGCATAGCTCATTGTTTTAAATTGTACAACATATGACAAAAGAGCAATGCTACTTGGACCTAACCTAAAATGTTGACATGATTGCTGACCTTATTAATCACTGACCTTGATTTAATTGTAGGTCCCAGTATTTGCTGGAATCTACTATCAATTTAATAGTTGTGATTGATTAGATCAGCAAAACATGTCAACATTTTTGGTACAAATAGTATTTTCCATAACAAAAAGGTGATCCTCGGTTAATGTTAAAATCCCAGTAAAAAAACTAAATGAAGGAGCATTTATTTGCCTAAAATTTGACCCCGATTTCACCTACCATAACATGAAAAATGGTGTGACATTTTTTAGAAGATAACCAATTATTGATATTTGAATCCAATGTCGGTAGTGTGTAGTAATTTGCATGATAAACACTACTTATTCAGTTTCCCTTTCAGCTAAGCAATTACTCCTCAATGGAAGGTGTTCTGTACTGTAAGCCTCACTTTGAGCAGCTCTTCAAGGAGACGGGAAATTTCAACAAGAACTTCCAGTCACGTATGTGTTTTCATGTTTTCCACAATAAAGTTCGTTCTCTGATTTTTGAACAGCTTTAGTTGTCTGTTTAATTTGCAAAGCATTTTGTTTCTGACAGCTGCAAAGTCAGCTGAGAAGTTAACTCCAGAGCTGGTAAATTTTTCCCACAACTAGTAGATGTAACATACTTTTATGAATAAAAATTTAGCTTAAGGTATGTAGTATATTTAGGGTATTCATCTCTTATTCTCTCTTTCTGGGGTGGCTTCCAGACTAGGTCACCAAGCAAAGCTGCCAGCATGTTTTCCGGGACACAAGAAAAATGTGCTACCTGTGGTAAAACAGCTTATCCGTTGGAGAAGGTACCAAATGATATTTTGTTGGAAATTTGATTATTTTTCTTTATTTGGCTACTTCATATATGCATTCAAGGGCGGAGGCAACCCTGTTCCAGAGTGGGCAAGTGCCCCACCCTCAATTTTTTTTTTTTTTATTACTTAGATATGTATATTGTATATTTGTATAATATATTATTTGTGCCCCCCCAAAATCAAAGGCAAAAATATTAATGTACACTTATATCAAATGAATAATTTTAATTATGTCCTCTATTTTTTTTGGCACATCAATTAGTGTATATTTATATCTAATGAATATAAATTTTTTGACACATTTTTGGGCTGGTTATATGCCTATTTAGATAAATTTTGAATATACTAGAATTATTTTATATTTTTTAAGACTAAAAAAGACATGATATACATGTTTGCTAGTTTACTTGTGATTTTGACATTTATTTTTGCTAATTATGGTAAAAATTATAGAGTGCACATTAAACTGCATAATCAATCAAATGATTTATAAATACCAAAGTGATAACATGATTATGTATCTAAAAAATAATGAAATTGTTATGCAACGTTTTAAAAGTACAAAAATTCACCGAAGTCAATTATAAATGATTTTAATTAATTAATATTTTGTTAAAAAAATGTGATTGTTTGTATATACTAGACTTATCAAATTTCGGTATAGTGGGTTTAATGAACTTTTAAGTATTAAATAGGATGTAATTAAATAAATTATTGTCCTATTTCTATCAATTGTAAGAAAAAAAATAGTAATTTGTTGAAATATTCGTGCCCACCTTGACACAATTTTTTTGCTCCGCCCTTGTATGCATTTTGGTGTTTTGCATTGGAGCGTGCACGAACAACGCATGTCGAATTTCAGTTGTAACTCAAGGTGGATTGTTTGTGTCCTACACAACATTTGTCAGTTGATTGTCTGCTCTGGTTGAAATGATAGTTTTAGTCTCGAGAGGGAAGAGTTTTAAGTGATTTCAATTTGGTGCATCATTGGAATTTCTTGGCCCTCCATTTGATGTAATTTCAATTTGCTCCTGTGGTATGCATGAGTGCCTTTTGAATAGTTTGATCTGAATGCAGAGTTCAGCTATGTCTCTATGAGATAAGTTGATATAACTAGTAAAAAAAGTGAAAGTTTGGGTCAGGACACATGCTAGCCCATGGTCGTTTGATACAAACAATTAACTTGCATTTGCAATTAAGAATTGATTTAAAAAAGATTGCATTGTATTCCACTAAAAAAGGGAAAGCATGAGAAAACTGAACTTAAACTGCATTTGCTGTTCTAGCAATTTGCGTTTTCCGAAATGGATCTCATGCCATCACCTCTTTATGTTGCATTTGTGGATTAATGAAAAATAGGTGATAGTTCTGTTATTGTGTTGTTTTTGGAGGTTGATCAGTTGTGTCTAGGGCTTGTTGTATGGGGTGTCTTGCCCCTTTGAGGTTCCACCCACAGACTGAGGTCACGATGATAGTGAAATTTTGGGAATGAGGCCGACTGCTATCTCTTCTCTTTTCATCCTTTGTCTGCCATTTTTGCCTCTTTTCTTAATGACACATCTTGAACAAGAAAGAAAAAGCATGATTTATATCATCTAATACTTTCCCCCTTAAACATGAGCTTTGTGGCTAATTGAGAAGATTTTTCCAAGATTCAGCATATACTTTGATACCTTTGTTAGCTGGAATCAGTATCAGCTTAAAAAAGAAGGTAAGTAATTCTTTTCTATATGGAATTACCAGTTTTTTAGTTCTGCTTAACAATTCAAATTTTAACCTTTTTTGGCCCTGAAATCTTGCTTAGTGTTTTCAAAACGCCAATTAATTGGAGCCTATACCCTTATGCTGATGGATTTATTACTCAAAGTGCAGTACACAGTGTATTATATATTCATGATTGACCGCCTAGGTCAATCATGAAAAATAGAAAACGGATGGCCAAAAATCAGATTCCAATAAAGGCTTGTGAAGAAATTGAATATTAGTAAATATGTGATTAGGAAACGTCCTCCTTGTGATGTTATTGGATGATCATGCACAATGACGGAGAGATTGAATGAGACCCATAGAATGCTATATGGGTTAATAATTATTTGTCATATAGACCAAATTACTGTTCCTCAGACATATGAGTAGTTCGTAGTTGTGGTCATGTGTAGTGGTCGCCTTTAATTTTCAGGTGACGGTGGAAAGCCAAAGTTATCACAAATCCTGTTTTAAGTGCTCTCATGGTGGATGTGCCATATCTCCGTCAAATTACGCTGCCCTTGAGGGCATCTTATATTGCAAACATCATTTCTCCCAGCTTTTCAAGGAGAAAGGCAGCTACAACCATCTCATCAAGTCTGCATCAATCAGGCGATCAACAGCAGCCGTTCCAGATGCTTGAACTCCATATCCTCAATTATTATCTAAGTGGGCTTACTTTTTTTAAGTGTGTTTCTCTATGATTTCTCTTTGAAATCCATGGTACTAAACTGGCTTACTTCTTGCTTCTTATTTGTGCCATTCAATTGGCATCTTCTTCTTCTTGTTTGATTGAATCTACGAATTCAAATTTCCACAAGAAATGTCCTTTTGCAGGACTCATGGCTCATATAATAGAGCTTTGTTTATGAAGATTGATATTGCTGATTCCAAATGTTACACTTTTTATGCACACACTTCTTGCTATCTCGCACTCATATTGTGAACCCTTAGGATCATATGGAGATGATTGTCGATAGGGTTACGGACAAACTGACCGGGTGTATACCATGACGATGACGGGAAAGGAAATAATAGACTCTCACAAAACCGCATATGCTGCTACAAACAGTGAACAAGGTTCAGTTTTTCCTTTTTCAGTTTCGTGGCTATGCAGATCATGGGCCTAATGACAACCGGCCGGCGGTATGCTCACCGCCTACTTTGGGACATAAGAAGAATTTCACGTTGGGGCTTGGTAGTGCTTCAGACAATGCACTTCATTCTCCTCTTTTTTTTTAAAAAAAAAAATCTTTATTTCTTTTGAAATCATGGTTTTGGTTGTTTAAAATGGAAAGACATAACTCCAATAAGTAGTTCAAGTGGTTATATGGTCGAGTTGTAACTTCAATTTAGATGTCTTGATTTTGAATTTTGACAATTTTTTAGAGTTAGGTTATGAAAGATTTATTCTTCACGAATATTTTAGTCTTTATGTGAATAGTTTATCTCTGGCATCAAACAAGCTTCCGAAGTCCAATTTCTTTAGTTTGAGAAGGGGTGATTATTTGAAGAAATGAAGTCTATTTTATTTAACTGTTGAGTTATTATTAGGGGGTTATTTTACGTGGTAATGTAGGCGTGATGTATTTGTTACACTCAATATTTCCTCCCATATTGGGTAGTGAGGTTCAAAAGAGCTTCAAGCACTCCTCCCATTACACATGCTTACATGTTCGATACAAAATGATAATACATGTTCAATACAAATTACAAAATCCTAAATTCAAGTACATTTGGTAGATTAAGATGTTAATATCGACTCAATGAAAATTATAAAATCCTAAACCGGAGTTTAACACCTCCATCCTGGTAATGTCTAGAGAATTGAGAATTTTTATCTAATTGTGAAATGTTTTTTAATTAAATTTAGGTGTGATTATAATTAAACCATAATTCCGTAAATAACAACAATAGCGGTTGATAGTGAAAAAAAAATGACATTGTAAAAGAGTTGTGTAAAAATATTAAAAAATAACATGACTCGTTAATACGATTAATAAACACAAACTTGATACGAAAAAAAATATTTGAGTATTTTTTAAGTTACATATAGGACTGTCCATAGGTCGTGGGTTACTCACGAGTCCGGTGCTTAGCTTGAAAAAATAGGTTTGAGTCTAAACCTAATATCCTTAAAAAAATGGCTTGAGTTTGCCTCCAAACTAATTACTCACATCGAAGCTCGTCCCAAGAACCAGCTCATGAAGCTTGCGCACCCTTCATTTGAAAAAAAATTATATTTTTACACTATTAAATTTGAAACTTTAAAATAAGTCTCCCAATGTTAGAATTTGAAGTTCTAAAAATTTAGATATTATAAATAATGTATTATTTCATTTTTCATGTATTAAGCATATAAATTTTAAAGGGTAGAGTAATGCAAATGATAGATAAGTGAGTATATGTCAACCTAGTTGAGATGTATTCATTCTATTGGATGTAGTTCATCCCCTAATTGAAAATAAAATTATTTATTATTATTTTTATCTATTTTAACCCTATTTTTTATTTAAAAATATAATTTATATAAATATTAAGTTACAAAAATATTCATTATTTTTAAATGAAATTGTACATAAAAAAACCCGCTAGCAGATCCGCCCAATAGGTTCGCGAGTTGGGCTGCGGGTAATCTACTTTTATCCAAAGTTCGGCCCCGCCTGTCCAATAATTTACTCAGGTAAGATTTGAGCCTACATTACGCAAGTCCAACTCGAAAAAAATTTCGCAATGGCCCATGGACACCCCTAGTTACACAGTTAATAAACGAGTAGACTAAACTCGACATAATTAATAAGTGAATTAGATATAAATAAAATTAATTTAAAAAAATATATGACATGACTTATTTATATATCAGACGACTTGGGAATAGATTCCTCGCTCATTGGGGATAGAAAACGACCATCTCAAGGCACATCACGACCTACAGACACCACCGGCGAGACTTTGAAAGACAACTTGGTTGAGATTGAAAAGATCTCTACTAGTATGGTAAAACAGTGTCTTCCAAATCGAGCTAAAAAGTCAGTCCTTTTATTTGTTATTAAAAAAGATCGAAAACGTAAATGAAATAAATGGAAGTCAGTTAACAAAATTCTTCAAAATTCAAAAACTAAGTGATAAAGATTTTGTAAAATCTTCTAAGACCTTAATGGATAAAAAGATTCGAGTTTGTTGAATATATTTTTTAATCTTTTTTACTAAGACCCGCATAGGAATATGTCACTAGCGTGAGGAAAGCCGAAGACGCACAATTGACCTTGTTATTTTTGCGTTCAACATTTTACAAAACGACAGCGTCTCCAAAGTCTCAACCGTTTAGTGGCGGGAATGGCGCTGTTTCCCGCCAAACCAGACCTCTGTTTTTCATGGCATAAAGCCCTATGCAACAATCCTCAACCTCAACCTCAACCTCAACCTCAACATCTCTCTCTCTCTCTCACACACATCTAACCACTACATACATTGAAGGCGAGGGAACAAGAAGACGATTAAGAAAATGTTGGAGCTAAGGTTGGTACAGGGGAGTCTCCTGAAGAAAGTTCTTGAATCGATCAAAGACTTGGTGAACGATGCCAACTTCGACTGTTCCGCTACTGGTTTCTCTCTCCAAGCCATGGACTCCAGCCACGTGGCTCTGGTAGCGCTCCTCCTCCGATCGGAGGGCTTCGATCACTACCGGTGTGACCGCAACCTCTCCATGGGTATGAACCTCGGAAACATGGCCAAGATGCTCAAATGCGCTGGAAATGATGATATCATCACCATCAAGGCCGATGATGGCAGCGATTCCATCACGTTCATGTTCGAAAGCCCTAGTACGCCGCCACCTTCTACAGACCCCTAACTCTGATTTTCTTTAAATGCACACACACACACACACACACACACCTGTATGTATTTATTGGGAAATTTATGTTTTGGTTTGTTGCTGTGGATTGATCAATTGATTTAGGGTTTTCCGGATTTTGTTTAATTCGTTGGTTTTGGGTTTGAAAGCGCTTCTCAGATCAATTTTGTTGTGTTCTTTTTCTTCTAATTAAATATTGTACTTCGTTAGGGCCATTGCCTGGATGTATAGAAACTGTAACTAGCTAAACCGGCTCAATTAAGAATCTGAGTGAACCTTTTCTCTGCTTAGACTCACTGGGGGGAAGACTAGTGGCAAACATTAGCCCGAGTAGAAGAGGATGAAAACAGATTAAAAAAAAAGGGTTGATGCATGCAGGGTTAGATGAATAGATCAAAAGGGGGGTGGTGAAGCTCTCATAGCACTAGTAAGATTACCATTACGTTCTTCTATTTTTTGTCTTTTTCTTTTAAATATTAATTTTTAGTATATTAATACACACACACACACACATATATATATACTGTGTGTGTACTGTTTAAAAAGCTGTTTTGTTGTTGTAGTTGTCTCTCCCTCTACAAATGCGTATGTGTGTATGTAGTAGAATTTTTGTTTGCTTTCTTTTTGTTTTTTTTGTTTTGTTTTTTTTTTTGTTTTTTATGCTTTCTTTTCAGTTTTCAAAGCACTTGTAGCACATATTACAATTCTTTATAGGAGCATTTCATACACTTGATCTGCCTTGAAACTGGTTCAATTGATCTATTTAATTTCAATTGTCAATTGGTTTTTAATTTCTATGACAGTCTGCCTACCCCTCTGAAAATTTTTACAAGATTGTCTCTTTCTCGTATTGTATTCTTTCCTAAATTCTCCAATTCATTTATTGCTCGAAGTGGCCATTCCAACTGTTGCGTTTGAGTAACTCTATTATTATCTTTGATCCTTCTGATTCGAGTACAAAAGCAACATAGAACCCCTTTCAAGATGTTGCAGATCAATGCTTTGCATGGATGGTTTGGTTCAAATTTTAACTAGCAAGTTGGCTTTTCCTTGCTTTATTTTACAAACAACCATTGCGATTTATCTTCTTTGTCTCTGGTTTAATCTGTTCTTCTCTTGCTTCAAATTATTCAAATGAAGCTCAAGATAAGATTGCGGATTTTGAGATGAAGCTCATGGACATTGATAGCGAGCATCTTGGAATTCCAGAAGCAGAATATGAAGCCATTGTAAGGATGCCATCAACTGAATTTGCAAGGATTTGCAAAGATCTCAGCACCATTGGCGATACTGGTACTGAGTCATATTCCCCTATTTATCATTACTTTCCCTATTGTTCGTTTCCTTTGTTTTCCATTGTTTGGTAATTGTGAAACCTCTTCTATGTAAAACAAAAGTGTCAAACGCTAATTGTGACAATTAATGGGTTGCTGCAGTTGTAATATCTGTGACAAAAGAAGGTGTGAAGTTCTCCACTAGAGGTGATATTGGGACAGCAAATATTGTTTGCAGGCAGAATACCTCAGTAGACAAGGTTTCTTTCTGTCAAATTCTTTGGCTTCTTTGAGTCCCGTGACATTTAAATGCAGACCTTTTGATTGTCTACTTCTAACAGTGGATCTTTTGTTTCTACTTGTGTCCAATTCTTCTGACAGTAAAGAACAGAAACAACTGAGACTGAAATTCACTAGCAACTAATGGTAAGTCTTGACTTTTTGCTTTAAAATTTTGCAGCCAGAAGAAGCCACCATCATAGAAATGCAGGAACCAGTTTCATTGACCTTTGCCCTGCGGTACATGAACTCCTTCACAAAGGCCACTCCATTGGCAAACCAAGTGACAATCAGCATGTCATCAGATCTACCGGTGGTGGTTGAATACAAAGTTGCAGAAATGGGATACATCAGGTTCTATTTGGCTCCCAAAATTGAAGAAGATGAGGAGACTGCAGCTCACGCACCAAGCCAACCTAACACAGAGGTTAAGCCTAAAGTGAAAGTGGAGTATCAGCCACAAGAGATTGACCTTGAAGAGGCAAGCAAGCCTCTAGTTGAAAACAAGACTGAAGTGGCGGCCAAACTTGAGACTGAAGCTAATGGTGAGGTTGCAATCATCGATGTGAAAATGGAGTCTAAGCCTCTAGAAGGGACTGACCTTGAAAAGGAAGGCAAGCCTCTGGTTGAAAGCAAGACTAAATTGGAGACCAATGGTGAAGTTGAAGTCATGGATGTTGAGTAGTCTTAACTAACAGGACTTTTATCGCTTCCATCAAGGATGTCATTTTTGATGCTGGTAATTTGTGAGGAAGTACCAGGCCTTGAAGACGAGTTCTAATTTTTGTATGCTAGATGAAAGTATACATGGAAGTGCTAAATGTTTTGGCATTATAAAACTAGTGGACAGCAGACTTCTATGTGCAATGCATTGACAGGAAATATGCAGTAGGAATCAAATTGACGAGTTTGTAGAGGTCGTACTTGTAAAAACATGCCTTTTCTTCTCTATGCCTTTCCCATTTCCAAACGCCAGATATGGTGATGCTCTTGCCTGGTTAGTTATGGCAATCCAATAGTACGTTGTGTCAAAGTCTGGGACAAGGAAATCATAGATTTGCTAGTCGCACAAATACAAATTTTGAATATATTTTTGCTCAAAATCATACGGCAGCCGTAAGAGTTTTAAAAGACCAACAAGTTCAAGCCTAAGTACCCGCTCTAAAAAGGTCTACCTTTTGAAAGAGTGGGAAGGAGCTTATGAATCAACTCGAAACTCATGTCACAATTGATATGAGATTTCAATTCATCTTTTCTGACAAACAAACACAATGAAATACATGCAAATTTTGAATATCCTTTACCAATATAATAATACATTTGCAAGAGCCCAAGAAGACTGCAATATAATGTTGCGTAAAATATGTTCAACCAAGTGTTCATTAAAAAAGACGAAAGGGAATTGTTTTTGTTGGTTAAGCTATAGCCAACCTGCATTTCAACCAGATTTCGATCATGGGGGGAGGGCAAAAGCACAAGCATGTGACATTCTCAGATTTGTAAACAGTGTTTTTCACTAATTAATCAATGGAAGAACTTCAATGACCTATTGTGTAGACTCAATTCTACAACGTTTCCTGAAAGAATAAGAAAGTAAAAAAGATCCTCCACAAGCCCAAGTGGGAAGAATAGATAGACGGATCAAGTCATTTATCAAAACTTTCTACTATGGCTATTCTGTTGGTGGTTGCTTTGCTGGTACAAACGGAAACCTGCCTGCAGATTTCCAGGTGAAAAATAGAACTAAGAGGGCAAAATCCAAGACACGCCAACTGCAAGAAAACGATCCAAAATTGCTTGAGGAAGGTCACCCGTCATCACATAATGAAGCAAAAGAGAATGGAAATTACAGTTGATGCTTTTGCAGAGTAAACTTTCATTTACTACGCTTCTTGGCTTCACTATAGAGGATAACCCCAATGACTGTAAGGGTATAGCCAAGCATCCCAGTAACTGAGACGGGATTTCTAAATATCAATATTGAGACCACCACAGCAACAGCTCCTTTTGCATTTCCCAGGACCTGGAAGAGCCAACAAAAATTTGTGATTAAAACAGAGAGCATCTTATAAGATGTTCAGAAAAGAACTAGTTAAACAAAATAATAGATAGAGAAAGTAGCACATAGATACTTACATTCAAGGGTAAGCATAACACGAGAATGCCAAACCACCAATCACAAAAAAACAGTAAAGAAAATGGTAAAACATGAAATATCACTAGGCTACGTCATATGATGCTTACTATTACTTGGAATAATCGCCAAATGTTTGGAGAAACCAAAAATGATGGTGAACCCAATGGGTGTGTTTGGGTAATGGGGTGGGATAGGGTAGGTTTTCTTTTTTTATATCCTAACCAATCTAAGTCAAACTCACTCATCCACTTTAAAACCCTAACCCCAGATTATATCCAATCCTAACCTTTGTTTGGGAAATAAATGTATAATTTAGCGGGCCCCATAGATTACACAAATAATTTTGTAGTAGTTTACCATTCTACCCATGACTCTATCCATTCCAATCCAATCAATCCTATCCTATGTTTGGTTAACCCATCCAAGCCTAATAAAATTATACATTTTTCACATATACATAAAAACATATAAAAATAAGAAAAGTTAAATATATATATATATATATATCTTTGATTGAAATATTTTTGGTTTAAGTATAATATTTTAAATTTAAGGGGTCTGAGTATTATATACTTACTACAAACTTCAGAGGGATTTAAGTGTAATTTATTAACGAATATATTAATCTTGAGGGGTTTAAATATTACGCGCATATAAACTTGAGAGAATTTGTGTTTAATATTTTAAATATCAGGAGTTTGAATAATTAAACGACAAATTTTAGGGGATCTAAGTATAATTCTCCCTAGATAAATCCCTCAAACCTAGGAGCATCCATCTGCCATTGATGGTCTGCACTAGAACCCAAAAGCATTCTCCCTAGAACCATCCATCTGCCATTGATGGTCTGCACCTCCCATATACATAAACCCACCACCACCATTAAATCCACCACCACCACCACCGCCACCAGAACTCACCGCCTCATCTCTCTCACCACCATCGCCTCCACCTCCACCTCCACTCCCATCTTTTTCCCCTACAACAAAAACGCCAACGTCACCACCACCACCACCACTACCTCCCACCACCACAATTCAATGATTCCTTCAATTTCAGATCGTATATGGAATCCCAAACAAGAATTTCGTTTGACTAAGAGCCATACCCAAACATACCCAGATCTGAGCCTTGGACGAGCTCAGCCTCCAATGGAACGAGCTCAACTGCTTCGCGCTCTAATTGACAAGAGAAGAGAGAGGGCAAGAGGAGGGGCAAATATGTCTTCGATGGGGTTATCCTCTTGCCTGGGTTTGTAACCCATGGGAGGGGTGGGTTAGGTGTAGCCGATGTAAGGGGGTTAACTGGTATTGTAGAAATCGGGTCAAGCCTTGACCCGGAATTTGCATCCAATCTCAAAAAAGGCTTCCCAAACAAAGGTTATCTGGGCCCCACACCTATTTTATCCCATCCAACTAGTGGATAACCACCTTTAACCCACTATCCAAACACCATCAACGGACAAGGCTCCTACAATCCCGCCTAATGCTGATTTGGAAAAAATAAGTAGAAAGTAGCCTCGTCTCCATTTTGGAGTGACTGTTTCCCAGACTCAAACCAATGACGTAATGTTTGGAGGGATGAACACTTACCATAGCTCCAAGTCTAACCTCGCAAAACATACAAGTGTCTGTGCACAGATATATACCTAACATATGCAACATTTATGTCTATACTTGTTTGTAAAACTTATGCCCGTGGCATTATTTACTTGTTTCTTGAAAACATTGGGTCTAGGGTTTTTGGTTCTTATAATTTGATTTGTGAACTTTCTTGGGAAGTCTTCAATCAATTTGTGAGTTCTTGAATTCGTTTAAGGGTTCACATCAAGGAGCATCTCCAATAGTGCTCTCTAATTTTTTTTTTTTTTTAAAATAGAGAGCATCTTTAGTAAAAAGTTAAAATAGAGCGTGAATTTTTATGCACCACTCCAATAGGACTCTATTCTTATTGTTTTAACATTTTATGCTTTGTCGTTTTTATTTTGCTTCCCTCCCATTTTTTCTCCATTATTTTATCAAACTTTAGAATATTTTATTGATCCTGCCAATTATCGTTCATCTCGTATGGCACTTCAACCAAATTTGTCTAATCTATTGATCAAATTTATTAATTTAATCTTCCTAGTTATACATGAAACTAAATGTAAGGGATCAAAATATTTTAGATATGTACATAACATATATTGATCAATATACATATACCAGAGACTAATTTAATGGTTGAAGTCCAACAATGGTGCTTGAAACCAACCGGAATGAGACCACTTAAAAGAATTAATTTAATTGTCATACCTTGTTGTAGTGCTTATGTAGTTTGACGGAAATTATTTCGCACAAATCTTGAAGTTTTAGACAAAGTGAAGGTTTTGGTTTTGGTTTTGATCAGGACTTTTACCCTAAATGTCATTTGATGAAAAATACAAATATACCGTTTTTTTGTTCCAAAAAAATAAAGTAAATAGTGAGTTTGACTCTTCCAATGTAGAGTGCCAAATTGGACTCCTTATTTTAGAGAGCCCGAGTAAAGAGTCCATTGGAGATGAAATTTTAGGGGTTGACTCTTTAAAATAGAGAATTGAATGGAAATAAAGAGCCTATTAGAGATACTCTACGCAGAGTAAATGTTCCTTTTTTGTAATTAGGGAGCATTGCGCCATTATCCCATAATCTCAGGCCCAACGTACAAGGACAAACTAACTGCAACACGAACACAATCAGAATTGGAAATTTATCACCCGGTGCCTAGATATAGGAATTTCCTTTTCCTCTTTAAGCAAAAAATTTATGTTATTATAATTACACTGCACACATTAACATCATTAGGACATAATCCCGCTTCCTTTAAATAAAATACTAATTAAGTTCTTCGCTGATTCTCATTCATGATTGTATACTAAATGGTAAACATAAAGATGATTGATCATCAAGGGGAAAGAAGCTTGGACCTGAAAGGAAGGCATACCTGGAGAGTAAGAGCACTGGTGTGTTTTGTGACCAAGAAATTGGTCAAATTCACAAAATATGCAAGTGCAGAATTGAATAGCAGATACCAGACGATCTTGATATCATCCCTGGATAGTGCTATTGTGATACCAATTACATTTTCTTCCATAAATAGTGTTGCAGGAAGTAGAAGCAGAACAGCTATAGGAGCCATGTACAAGAGAAGATTCATAGAATTTAGCTTTTCCCTTAAACAAAAAAAAAACATAAGTTTCAGAATTAATTTCAACATATCTAATTCCGGTAACTTCACCAAAACACATAATCATGAGTATATAGGAAACAATAAGCAATTCATTACCCTTCAGAAGAAAGCAAAATCCCCTGAAGCACTGATTTGAGTGCTCTTGCAGCTGTAGCACCAATACACATTATAAATCCAAATAGATGGAAACTTGGTTCACCCTAAGACCATGAAAGGGTAAAAAGGCAACAAAAATCAGATTAGAAACGGGTTTTTCCAAAGTACATCATTGCGACCATGACTGAATAGGAAGACCTGCTACTTTTAAAGCTTACAACATATAAAGTAGCAGCAATACAGGAGCCTGGCCAAATTCCTTATATGTTTCAGCAACTACTAAAGCTCACCAACTAAATGAAAAGATAACTGATGCTTATTTAATCACTAAATATTTCATGAAAGTGATCACAAGCTCAGAAGTGAAATCAAGAATGCTCAGCATAAACTTTAATTATAAGACGCAAAAGCTGGATCCGGATTTAGAATCATATGATGTTCAGTTCAGCTGATAGCGAACAAAAAGAAAATAAATTTTCATTACCTAAACCCAAATGAATCAAAATCTCTAATCAATCAAGTTTTTGGATTAGGTGAGGAAAAAAATAAATGTTAACAAAACCAAAACGTAATTGATTCCAACTCTACATTTTGTCTTGATTTTTCTAAACAATCAGAAGGGCAGGTATTCTTTTTGCCTAGAAATTCAAGTAAGAAGCAAAACACATAAAAATTCATTCAACTCGTAATCTGATAATTCAATCGCAACAGCTAATAGCGACCAGAACACACCCAATTCGACAATAAAGCCTCACATTTCCCAACGAAATACATCAATATGTGCAATTAAAACAAGCTCATACCCCGCTGGCAATGATAACCCCAGTAACAACAGGAATGAGAGTGATATAAGTGAGCCAAGCCTCCCTCCTCAACGTAATCAAATACGCAAAAACCGCCGTGAAAAATGGCGTTGTGGCCCCGATCGCTTGATTGAAGGAAACTGGCAAATACCTTAACGATATATTCCCACTTACCACCGAGGCACAGAACACGAAACTTAGTGCAGAGATCTTCATGAATTGGACTCGGGATCGGATAGTCTGCATAGGAACCATCTTCATCCACGCAATGGCGATATAGCTTAACAAAGAACACGCGGTCATGTGGCACATGGTGAGGAATATCGGGTATTTGAATCCGTAGTTGCTGAGTAAGTACTTGTTCAGCAATAAAACCCCAATGTTTGAGGAGTACCATGATGTGACGAGCACGATCGTGAACAATCGGCCCGAGTCATTCGTTGCCGGCATTGAATTCGACTGAATTTCGTACTATAAGGCCTAAAAACTGAAAAATTTAGATAGCTCAAAACTATGGAAAATAGAGAGTTTAAGCTACAGCAGCATTGGATCTGTTAGGGTTAAGAGAAAGATAGGAATGGAGGAGGAAGCAGAGAGAGAAGAAGAGCTTTTGTGAATGTAGCAATAGAAAGAGATCATGAGCGTCGTCCATGGATCTGTAAGAATTTCATCAGAATACGTGTGTGTTGTGAAATTGAGGGGTGGTCGCGAATTGAGGACGACCGACGAGGAGTTTGTATTCTCTGCAAATACAAATACCAAGATGAGAGAGAGAGCAGGAGGAGGAGGAGGAGAGATTTAAATCCCCCTGGTCCCACTGTCCCAGAGGTGCTCGACACTCTATCTTGTTGTAGGTACAAGGAAGTACTAATTTATGAGGAGATTTATGCTTACAAAGATTTCTAATTACTGGTTGGAAGAACCCGGCAACGGTGAAAATTGAATAATAATTGTATAAGATTGTTTTATTGTGATTAGGATCAAATTTTAATCCGAATCTGAATTTGATTTAATCCGATTTATTTATATATTGTTATATAAATATTAAATAAATTGAGTGATTTTTTTTAAAAAATTATTAATTAAATTATTAAGATTAGACTAATTTTTTAGATTATTAACGAATTCAGATATGAACCATAAAAAATAAAACCGTCAAATTGTTAAATCGGGTTCAAATCAATTTTTGAAATCGAATTCGAATTCAAATCAATCAAAATCTGATTTGTTGACAGTCTAATAATAACTCATGTACTATGCGTTCTAGTTATGAAAAAATAATCTTT